CTTTTGTTGTATCTTGTCGGGGGAAGAGTTCACGGGAAAGCTCACTCCGCCATGATGCTGACGTCACTCAAACCAACAGTTTTTTGTATGAACAAAATTGACAACCTCTAGCTAAACTGACACACACACACACAAAAAGAGAGGGAGAGAAGACACAAATGACTAAAATCAGGATGAAAGAGAGGACATTACTTGTAGTCCTTACGGAAATAAAAGAAGATAATGAGGGAGTACTGTAAACAATTATATTTAAACCTATGGAAATGGACAAATTTGTGGAAGTACAAAAAACTGACATAAGAGGAAATAGAAAATCTGAATAGAGCTATAACAAGTAAAGAAATTGAATTATTAATTTAAAAAACTACCCACAAAGCAAAGCCCAGGCCCAGTTGACTTCACTGGTGAATTCTACCAAATATTTTAAAAGGAATTAACACAAGTCCTTTACAAGCTCTTCCAAAAAATAGAAGAGGGGAGAACCCTTCCAAACTCATTTTACAATGGCAATATTACCCTGACACCCAAATGAGACAAAGATATCACAAGAAAAGAAAACTGGACAAATATCTCTTATGAATATAGACATAAAAATCCTCAACAAAATACTGGCAAAGCAACTCCAGCAACATGTAAAAGGGATTATATACCATGACTACATAGGATTCATCCCAGGAATGGAAGAGTGGTTCAACATTAAAAAATTAATATAATACACCATATTAATAGTATAAAGGACAAAAATCACATGATTATTTCGGTAGACTCACAAAAAGCATTTGACAAAATCCAACACTCTTTCATGTTAAAAAACACTGAACAAACTAAGAATAGGAGGGTACTCCCTCAACCTGCTAAAGCGTATGTATGAAAAACCCACAGCTAATAGTATACTTAATGCAGAAAGACTGAATGCTTTCCCCTAAGATCAGGAAGAAGACAAGGATGTCTGCTCTCACCACTTCTAATCATTGTACAGAAAGTTCTAGGTAGGGCATTTAGGCAAGAAAAAGAAATAAAAGGCATCCAGATTCGAAAGGAGAATCTACACTATTAGAGCTAATAAATGAGTTCAGCAAGGTTGCAGGTTAAAACAGGATACAAAAATCAGTTGTATTTCTATATACTAGCAATGAAACATCTTAAAATGAAATGAAGAAGACATGCTATTTATAATAGCATCAAAAATGATAAAATACCTAAGATTGAAACAAAAGTGCAAGAGCTGTACAATGAAAACTGTAAAACATCACTGAAAGAACTTAAGACCTAAATAAATGGAAAGACATCCTGAGTTCATAGATCAAAAGACTTAATGTTGTTAAGATGGCAATACTTCCCAAATACTTCCCAAATTGATCTACCAGTTCAGTGTAATCCCTATCAAAAATCCCAGCTGGATTTCTGCAGAAAATGATAAGATGATCCCAAAATTCATATGAAAATGCAGGGGATCCAGAAGAGCCAAAATAATCTTGAAAGAATAGAAAAAAGTTGAAGTACACCTCCTGATTTCAAAATTTACAACAAAGCTATAGTAATCAAAATTGTGAGGTACATAAGGATAAAAAGGTAGATCAGTGAATAGAGTTGAGAGTCAAGAAATAAAGCCAGGGCTGGCCCGGTGGCACAAGGGGTTAAGTGCACGTGCTCTGCTGCAGTGGCCCGGGGTTCGCCGGTTGAGATCCCAGGTGCACACCAACACACTGCTTGTCAGGCCATGCTGTGGCAGGCGTCCCATGTAAAGTGGAGATAGATGGGCATGGATGTTAGCCCAGGGCCAGTCTTCCTCAGCCAAAAAAAAAAAAAAAAAGGAGGATTGCCAGATATTAACTCAGGGCCGATCTTCCTCACACAAAAAAAACAAATAAACCCTTACTTTTTTTTTTTTAATATAATGTGCCTTTTTTTGTGTGTGAGGAAGATCAGCCCTAAGCTAACATCCATGCCAATCTTCCTCTTTTATTTTTTTTTTTTTGCTGAGGAAGACCAGTCCCAAGCTAACATTCATTGCCAATCCTCCTCCTCTTTTCTTTTTTTTTCTTTTTTCCCTTTTTCTCCCCAAAGCCCCAGTAAATAGCTGCATGTCATAGTTGCACATCCTTCTAGTTGCTGTATGTGGGACGCAGCCTCAACATGGCCTGACAAGCGGTGCATCAGTGCGCACCCGGGATCCAAACCCAGGCCGCCAGTAGGAGAGCGCACGCACTTAATCGCTAAGCCACGGGGCCGGCCCCAAACCATTACATTTTATGGTCAGTTGGTTTTCAACAAAGGTCTCCAGACCATTCAATGGGGAAAAAATAGTCATTTCAACACATGGTGCTGGAACAGCTGGTAAGCCACATGCAAAAGAATGAAGTTGGACCCCTGACTCTCACCGTATACAAAAATTAACTCAAAATGGATCATAGACCTAAATGTAAGAGCTAAAAGTATAAAACATTTAGGAGAAAACATAGGCATAAATCTTTGTGACTTTGGATTAGGTAGTGGTTTCTTTACACACTAAAAATACAACTAACAAAAGAAAAAATAGATAAATTGGATTTCACCATAATTAAAAACTTTGCATCAAAAAATACTATCAAGAAAATGAAAGGACAACCCACAGAATGGGAGAAAATATTGCAAATCATGTATCTGTTAAGCAACTAGTGTCTAAAACATAAAGAACTCTTAATGGTAAAAAGACAAATACCCCAATTTAAAAATGGACAAAGTAGTCAAATAGACATTTCTCTAAAGAAGATATATAAATGGCCAATAAACACATGAAGAAATGCTCAACATCGTTAGTCATTAGGGAACTGCAAATGAAAACCACAATGAGATACCACTAGGATGACTATAATAGAAAAGATGGACAATAACAAGTGTTGGCAAGGATGTGGAGAAATTGGAACCCTCATACACTGCTGGCGGGAATATAAAATGTTGCAACCACTTTGGAAAACAGTTTGGCAGTTCCTCAAAAAGTTAAACAGAGTTACTGTATGACTCAGCAGTTCTACTCCTAGGTATACATCCAAGAGAACTAAAACCATATGTTCATACAAAAACTTGTACATGAATGTTCAGAGCAGCATTATTCATAATAGTCAAAAAGTGGAAACAATGTAAGTGTCCATCAACTGATGAATGGATAGACAAAATGTGGTATATCCATACAATGGAATATTATTCAGCCATAAGAAGAAATGAAGTACTGATGCATGCTACAACATGGAAGAACTTTGAAAATGGTGTGCTAAGTGAAAGAAGCCAGATGCAAAAGGTTGTGTGATATTGTATGATTCTGTTTATATGAAATGTCTAGAATAGGTAAATCCATAGAGACAGAAAGTAGGTTAGTGGTTGCCAGCGTCAAGGGGGAGAGAGGAATACAGAGTGACTGCTAATGGGTTCATAGTTTCTTTTTAGGGTGATGAAAATATTCTGGAATTAGATAGTGGTGATTGCTGCATAACCTTGTGAATATTCTAAAAACCACTGATCTGTACACTAAAAAAAAAAATTCAGCTTGTTTTGCCCCTCTCCAGTGCATTCTTGCCTAATGAAGATGCAGGCTGAGTGTTAAATGCAGCCATCCATTTAGCTCCACCAGGTCTTGGTGGGAGGTGAAGGGTATCTCTGTGACAAGTCTATGAGGGAGTGAGGGGGACACACATGGATGTGACATGTTACAAGCTTTGATTGACAAAACATTTTTATTTCTTCTCCTTTGTAGAACAGTTGTCTCAGACAATTGCTCTCAGGTCATTTAGGTCCCTTTATCTATTGTTATCTGCCTTAATTCTCTATGGTGTTTGTGTGTTGTATCGTTGCAGTGCCGATGGGGAAGTGAAGCACTGTGTGATCTACAGCACTGCTCGGGGCTATGGCTTTGCAGAGCCCTACAACCTGTACAGCTCACTGAAGGAGCTGGTGCTCCACTACCAGCAGACATCTCTCGTTCAGCACAACGACTCCCTCAACGTCAGGCTTGCCTACCCTGTCCACGCACAGATGCCCTCACTCTGCAGATAAAAAGGAAGTGGGAAGAGAGGTGGCTCTCTAGCATTTTTTTCTACAGTTTTTATTAGACTATGAGGGCATTCTTTCTACGTAGACTGCTTGTTTTGCACAAGAAGTGATTCTGTGAATGTGAAGTGGAGAGGCCAAGCAGCAGCTGGCCAGGATGGGGGCATAAGGGGCCTGAGCTTCTCTGGGACTGAGCCATGCCGCTGCACTGACATAGGAAACTGGACGCAGAGGTTGTTTTTTGGAAAGTCTGTTTCCTTGGAGTTCTTATTTTGTTTAGCCAGGCACCCTTAACAGAACACATTAGGTTGATGGAGGCAGGAGGTTGTATCTGGAAGCCCCTCAAGCGTCCATGTCCCCTTCTGGTCTTCGACTCTGAGAATGCGGCAGGGGCATGGCTCTGTTGGGAGTTCTGTTTTGATCTGGCAGTCTCTCTTCCTCCCAAAAAGAAGGCTGTTTTGGTTCTGTGGTAGAATGGCCTTTGTGGAAAAGACAACCAAAGGAAAACGGGGCAGCTTGGGATGGGGTTTCATTTAAAGAATCTTAGTCAAGGGGGTAAAAAACCTTCAACTGAAGGTACTTTATTTCTTAACCAACATAATTTAGGCATCAGCATCTCAGTAGCTCCTCCCTCTAAAGGTTTTTGTTTAGAAACCAAATTGATCCCAGCAAAACAATGTTTGTTGCCAGACTAAGGTCTGATGGAGGAAGGCAGCACTAGTATCTGAATGCACGCTTCTGTACCAAAATTTGAAAGTAAAAGGAAAACTAGAGTTTATTAGTTTCAGCAAACACTAAAATTGCTCCGTGTAAGTCCTGCCCTGCCCTTGTTTCTCAGAGATGAGGAATAGTGTTCTTTTTTGTGGGCATGGTGAGCTTTGGATCATAAAATGAAGTTGGTGCTTGTGTGGTGTTTCCTTAGCCTAAAGAATGACCTGTTGTTTGAAACAGTTGTAACTTGTTGTATGAGTAAAGAAAAGGTGCAATCCAGTGCTTTTAGGTGGCTCGATATACCAAATAATGATGTAGAACAACATCCGTATTCTATGTGCTTCCCCAAGTTTAAGGGCCCTGCAGAAACAGTAAATGTGGTTTATATTCCCTTCATCTCGTTGTCCTTTGCTGGGTAGGGCTTAGGGGAGCCATAGGTGGCGAAGGCTGTAGCAGGAAGGCAGCCAGAATGTGGTCAGGGACCTCAGTAGATCACACACCCAGGGGCTCTGGTGTCCAGGGCAAGGGTCGTGCCACATTACCCACGTGCTTCCGTACAGTGGTTTCTGAAACTTTTGCAACGAGAGCAAAGGATGGCTTGGAGTTTAGACTGTTAGTAGAAGCGATCTGGAAGCTTTTGTCTTTGTCTTTTTTGTGATCCTGCCATTAAGATGACGTGCAGACTGTCCTCACGCTCCAGTGGCCCCGATTTTAGGCCAGCAATCTTCTGCTCCATGTGGTTTAAGCCTTCCAGCTGAGTGAAGCTAGGCAAATGGGGTTGGGCATCAACTCCTACCTCCGTTATGCCCCACCCCCATTAGTCAACACTCATTTGACAAATAGAGTCCAGCTGCCTCTGAGCCAATCCTGGAACCATAATAGACTCAGAGTGAGTCAGCTGTTTGAGCCCAAAGCTGTGCAGTCAGGCATCCTGGCTGAGCTGGAGAAGAAGCCAGTATCTTGGTGCCTAAAGCTTATAGCTAGGAAGGCTCTAGTTTGGAGGATGAAAGAAACAAATACAACTTTCCCTGAACACTTATCTTGGTTACAGGGTCTAGAATGGACCATGACGTAGAAATAGACACAGATTAAAATTTTTGGAAAAACCTCCAGATTTACTAACAATGAGGATTGGAAGGAAAGGGCATATCTTTGGCTTTTCTTTGGTTATGTTGCAGTTTCAGGATTGGGTGAAGCAGACAGATGAACCCCCTCCAGTGTCACTCTTCTGACTTAAGCCCTTAACTGAGTCATCCAACTGCACATTCCTTCCCCAAATTACCAGATTGACACCTTGATGAAAGTTTTACTGAGTAATGCCAGGCTAATTGCTGCTTGGCACACCTGGATGGCCTCACACCTGATGCTGAACCTGCTTAAGCAGTTGGATGCTCAAGATTGGGTGCAAAGAATCCCTCCTTTCTGGTACTAAAATTTAGTGTGTTTTGAGTGTCTCTTTTAAAATAAATGAAAATGAGAAGAAGGACACACACCTGTAACATTGAGCCGTATGCTGCTCCTGGTCAGGCAGACATTAAGAGTGTGCAGAGGGAGAGCTAGCACCATCTATTATCTACACTTGGGCTGGCTTGTGGAGAAGGGCTGCTTTTTTTCAGTCCTACATTCCTTCACTTTTTGTTTCTTTCTAGTTCTTTATTCTTGAATTTGTTACTTTGTGAGACCTAAAACCTAGGGATCATTTGAGAAGTTGGAAATTATCTTTTCTGACTGGTTACAGCATGATTTGCTTGATCCTGAGCCGGTGGAAATGGCATAGGGACCAGTCTGCTAACCACCTGGAGGAGTAATATGCAGCTCTTTTATTCTATGGTCTTGGCCCCCTTCATCTGAGTCTAGCTCTGTGTCCTGTCCTGTGATCTGGGCCCTGGGATTCTCTCTCTTGGCATCCTAACTGCAGCCTCACTGAGGCACAGGATAAAGAGATCAAGACCAGAGGGGATCATTGTTTTCCTGGCTAGAGAAGCCAGCCACCAACATGGAAGAAGCTTGGGGCTGGCTGGACACAGGTCCTAGGCCCATCTTTTCCAGACGGAGCTTTCATCACAGAACAATGCTCTGTCCCCACCTGGCCATAGAGGCTAAACCTTGGCCATGGCTCAGGCCTGTAAGGGCTGGCTGTGTCCTTACCACTGATTTGGCCAAGTTTGAGGACTTCTAATGCTTCCCCTACCTGGTCTCCAAGCCTTGATGGGACCCCCCCACACACACACACTTATTTTGGACCTCATGTGCTCTGAAGAAGCTTTGAGAGCCAATGTGGTGTCTGTCTTCCATGGGTCTCCTCTTCTTGCTGCAAGGATCAGGCCTCATGGGTCCTCTTGGGCCAGAATTGCATCTGGGCAATTCCTGGTTTTCAAGGTGGTCTCTGTTGCCAGTTAAGACTCCAGAGTAGGTCTCTGTGAGGCTTCAGTGGCCTCAAAGCAGAGGGTCCAGATGGGGACCTGGCTGGGCCCTCTGTTGCCAACTGCTCAGCCTTGCTCTAGCTCCACCCACTTGTGACAAACAACCTTGTTTCCTTACAAATTCCAGCATGTGACTTTGGTGCCCTGTTGTTACTTGTGAAGAACCTCTTCTGTTGTCTTTGATGTAGTCAAAAAAATTCATGTAGTTTACGTAAAAATATCTGATTCACAAGGAAGCCAACTATATGTCTTGTGTTGGGACAGTTCATAATGTAGTTCCTAGACCACTTTTGCAAATTGTCTTGTCACCAGATGTGTTCAGACATTGCTGTGCAGTTGTGGGGGAGGGTGGGGGGAAGGTGAGGGGAGATACTTTTTGGTCTTTTTGTTTTTTACCTTCCCCAAGAGGGGACAGTCTGGCCAACTTGCTCCAGTAATGCAATAAAGACATTGCAATAAAGCACCTTTCTTGTCCTCATACTATGGAGGGGTGGGCTGGGGGCAGAGGGCAAAAGGAAGAGGACTCGGGTGTTGAAAAGCTCTGAAACTCCCAAACCTTCTCTCCTATGAGCACCAAAAGATTGGTCCTGGCGCTGAACTGGGGGCACAGAGGCTCTTCTTCCCCTGAAGAAGAGGAAGTCGATCCTAACAGGCATGATGCCAGAATCCCATCCACCCAACGCAGGACACAGGGAGACTCGGAAACTAACCCTGAGTGTTCAATCTGAGAGCCATTCCATCCTCACACCACTCCTGACTATTAGAAAGCCCAGCTTATTGAGTCTCATCACATCTTTCTGCCTGGAAATAACAGTGTTTCCACATTCTATGCTGGGGGAGGGGACATGGGCTCAATCTTACAGTCTGTCCTCTTGTTGCCCCAGGCCCTTGTCACCCTCCTGCCACAGCACTTTGTTGAGGTTCCTCTGTGTTGGGAACATAACCAACAAACATGTGACAACCTCTGCTTGCACAGGACCTTGCAGTTCTCATCCATGTCTCTCAGGCCCCACCCAGATGTGTACTGAATTACAAATCAGATTGGGTAGGGGACTAATCTGTTGTTCTAAATGACCTTAGTGAGTCCTTCCTCCCCACTACACTTGAGCTACATAGCACCCCCAAGGCCACTGCTAGGAACTACACATGATTTCCCCTAATCCCAGGAGTTGTTCCCACTCTCTGCACAGGAGGCTCAAATTAGTATATCTCCAGCCCAGTCCTCTCTTCTGAACTCCGCCTCCTGGCTGGGTATCTCTACTGGGGCCTTGGGTGTCCTACAGGCACTGCAAACTTTGTGTTTACTTGACTGAGGAAATATATGCTTGGCTATGAATTCCCTTACCTTCCTACCACCAAACCTATAAACCTGTCTATAGCCACATAACTCCTCTCCCTCTCACTTGTTAAATTACAAAAGGTAGCCCTCCTCCAACTAAAAGCCAATCTATCTCTCCACATGTATTTGGGATCCTACTTTCTTCCACCTTCTCAGGAATCTCCCATGATCAGTTATCAATTCTTTCGCTGTTTCAGTTGGCTCATCCATTGACATTTCAACATGGTTGGATGTCTCTCCACTTCCCCAATCCCTACTCAATCCTATATCCCTTTCCTTATCTCTTTTCTCCTCTTCAAAGCTAAACCTTTTGAAAAAACTGTCTAAATTTGTCTGTCTTTATTTCCTCACCTCCTAAGCATTTCAGGACAGGTTCCACCACTACCAGAAACTGCTCTCCTTGATGTCTTCAATAACCGTCCTTGTTGAAAACTCTTCATGAAAATCTCTCCCTTTGACTCCATGATGACTGATTCATCTAGTTTTCTTCCTGCATCTGGCTGTTCTTTTTAATTCTCCTGGACTTTAAGTCTCTTGGACTCCTCCTGC